AAAAGAAAATAAAAGAACCAATAAATGCAAGAGTTTTTTTTTTTTCTTTTTCCTAATCTAAACAGAAAATACAATGAATAAATGGAATTTAATGCAATAAATGAAAATAAAAGAAACAGCAAAAATCAAATGCAGTTTTCTCATCACTACACCACTTGTTTCCACATTTTCGGTGCAGGAATCATTCAGCAAATGAATTAATCTGTTTATTGATTACAGAAATTCATCATTGTTCAGAAAATCGTCAGAAACTTGGAACAAGTCTTCAGTTGTCTCATAAGATGCTTTTGCCAGCTGATAGTTGATAACAGTTGTGTTAACTGTTTTAAACATCATATGTCGTAGACAAGGAATAATGCAACTTGTGAAAAGACAGAACAGAACTAAAACAATCAGAACAGGTGTCACGAGCTTTAACAGCAAGGACCACCATGGTCCAGAAGTAAGCCATGAAAGCAAATCAAAAGAAGATGATCCTTGTGTTCCACTTTCTATGTAATGTTTAAGTTCTTCCAGTTCCTGTTTCATCAAGCACAAAAGTGCAGTCGTTGCAGACCCCTCCCTGAGAGGCTGTGAGGAAGTCCAGGAAAACACGGTTTTGCATAACCATGTTCCTCAGTTCAGTCAGTTCTTTCTTGGTGCCATTGGCTGTGTACTGTTGATGAGTCGCATTAATTCATATCTGTTGATCTCAACGTGGTCCCGAATCTCTCCTAGATCAACCCACGGAAAAAGACTTTGCATGAATTTTTCTCCGCCGTTCCAAATCCTGAATTCCCATGGAACTCCAGTATGTGTTGTGAGGCCTCCCCATCTTTTGACCTCTGGCATAACTGTTCGTTTGGAGCGGGTGTGTAGATCATTTTGTGCTTTCATTTCCGCATATGAAGTACCAATCTGCCAACATCCATGAGCCATAATCTCCTGGCACTATGGCGCTGCACAGTGTTGTCTCTTGTCTCCTTTTTGTCTTATGCGTGGTGTTGAAACTCCTCTCCTGAGGCAGGTTGTCACAGTCTGGGTTGCCCTTCCAGACTTTGCAGTGTGGAGTCGCCCTTTGACCCCTGCAGGCAATGTAGTTGATGTAATCCGGTGTCTGTCGCAGTAGGTGTATGAACAGTTCATAGATCCAAAAAGTCCTTTTGTGGCATCTCCTGTCCGAAGTAGAACAGAAAAATCCTTTTTGCACCATTTGCATTTTCTTCTTTTCACGGGGACGCTGAGTCGTGGTTGTGTGCTCAGGCCATAGAGACACATCTGTTTGTCATCAGTGATGCTCCCTGGGTGCAGACCTGAGTTGTGTGTGGCAATTCGTAGCTGCGCACACATAGCAGTTCACCTCGTTCTCCTCGTGAGCAGTCCTGTTCATCAGCTGCCACTACAGGTTGGTTCTGTAGTCGTGTGGGTAGAAAGTGAGGTCACTTCCTCCTCCAAACATCAGACATGTTGCAGTCACAGTGCAGTAGAAGGTCCATCTGGCATATGGAGTCTCCATTGCTGCTCGGCGTACAGAGATGTTAGAACCCCCAAACTAAAGAGTGAGGATCTGTCGAGTTTC